TTCCTTCACCAAATTAGGGAATTTTTCATTCATTATTTTTTCAGATAGATTTCCAGTTTCTTGCTCTTTCTCTTCTCCTTCTGGCACCCCCATGATGCAAATGTTGGAATGCTTAAAGTTGTCCCAGAGGCTGCTTACACTATCCTCGCTTTTTTTATTCTTTTTTCTTATTGTTCTGACTGGTGTTTTTTTTGTTCCTTATGTTCCAAATCATTGATTTGATTCTCGGCTTCATCCACTCTACTCTTGTTTCCCTGTAAATTGTTTTTTATTTCATTTAGTGAATCCTTCACTTCTGACTGGGTCTTTTTTATGCCGTTGAGATCCTCAGTTAGGTTCCTTGAGCATCCCTATAACCATTGTTTTGAACTCTGCATCTGATAGATTGCTTATCTCCATTTTGTTTAGTTCTTTTTCTGGAGTTTTGGTCTGTTCTTTCATCCGGAGCATGTTTCTTTGTCTTTCCATGTTGGCAGCCTCCATGTGTTTGTTTGTTTTTTTTTTTTTTAATTTTATTTATTTATGTTTGGAGAGGGAAGGGAGGGAGATAGAGAAACATCAATGTGCGGTTGCTGGGGGTTATGGCCTGCAACCCAGGAATGTACCCTGGCTGGGAATCGAACCTGCAGCACTTTGGTTCGCAAGCCCGCGCTCAATCCACTGAGCTACACCAGCCAGGGCTCATGTATTTGTTTTTGTGTATTAGGTAGAGCTGCTATGACTCCCTCTCTTGGCAGTGTGGCCTAATGTAGTAGGTGTCCTATAGGGTCCACTGGTACAGTCTCCACTATCACCCAGGCTGGGTACTTGAGGTGCACCCTTCGTGTGGGCTAAGTACACCCTCCTCTTGTAGTTGAGCCTTGATAGCTGTTGGCAGGTCAATGGGAGGGATTTACCCAGGCCAGTCAGCTGCAAGGATTGGCTGTGACCCCTGACCACCAATATCTGCCCTCCCTGGAGGATCAGCTGTGCAGGGGCAGGGTGGTGGTGCTCTGATGTGGTCTGTATCTGTCCACTGGGTTCGCCGGCCCCGAGGTCTCTCAGGTGGTACAGGGCAAGGTCAGCCTCCCAACTGTGTTTTACCTGGGGCCACCCTGCCTGAGTTATAGAGTAGTCTGAGGTGGCTGCTACTTTTGCTAGGCTTGGAGATTCCCAGGCAAAGCCAGGCTGTGAATCTGGGCAGGGCAGTTAGTGCTGTGCCTGGGGCACACCAAAGCCAGCTGTTGCTTGTGTGAGAGGATGTAGGAAGTTGTAAAGCATGAGCCATTCGCAAGACCAGCCATTCTTACGGGAAAGCCACTGTTAGCAGCTGTAAGTTGGGTGGGACGGCGCCTCAGGGGATCTCCAGTGTGGGGCAAACAGTGTCAGCCAGGTTGGTGGAGCCTCAGGTACGGCACCAGCTGCAGACTCGGCGGCTCTATGGGGAGAGGGCTCAGAAAAGGAGCAGTGGCCTCTGCTGTCTTTCTGTTTGGGAGAAAGCTGTCCTCCAGCCTTTACCTTGATGCCAGAAACTTCAGTTCCTTCCTGTGTGCCACTGGTGCCTCTTAGGCTGCTGCTCTGATGTCGGAGCTCAGAGGGAGTGATTCTCAGTAAGTCTGTGTGTGGGCTCTTTAAAAGGAATTGCTTGGGACTCCACAAGTTTCTTTCACTGACTCAATCCCCACTGGTTTTTGCAGCCATAAGTTGTGGGGACTTTTATTTTTCTGACGCTGGAACCCTGGGCTGGGGGGCCTGGTGTGGGGCTGGGACTTATTGCTCCCGAGATATCCCTCCCGATTTTTATCTACCACATGTGGATGTGGGACCAGCCTGTTCCTTGTCTCCACCCTCCTACTGGCCTGGATGGGTGTGGTTTCCTTAATTCCGTAGTTGTCAGACCATCATTCAACTTACTTTCTGATGGTTCTGAGTGATGGTTGTTCTATAATTCAGTTACAATTTTGATGTGGTTGTGTGAGGGCTGAGCTGTGTTTACCTGTGCTGCCATCTTGCCCAGGAGTCTAGGCCTTGCATTTCTAATGTTTTATTTAGATAGAATTTTGCCAGGTTTTGGGAAAACCTTAAAACAAATCACTCAGGCAATGCATCCCACGTACTGAAAGTATGGGTGTGAATCTTGTTTTCTTTCATTGTCTTAATGTATATTTTTAAGTTGCAGTATTTTTTTTTAAAGATTTTATTTATTTTTAGAGAGGGGAAGGGAGGGAGAAAGAGAGAGAGAGTAACATCAATGTCTGGTTGCTTTTCATGTGGCCCCCACTGGGGACCTTTCCCGCAACCCAGGCATGTGCCCTGACTGAGAATCGAACCTGCGATCAATCCACTGAGCTATGCCAGCCAGGGCAGTTGCACATTGGAAATCAGAGGTAACTGACATGCGAAGAAATAAACTTGTGCTCTGAGCTCTTGTTAAGGTCTTAATTAGTTTTTCTCAGAATACTTAGCATCAAACCAGAGACACCTTGAAATGTTTTTGTAAGCATTTATTTTAAAAGTAGTGATAACTGAGAAATCACATTTCTTTTTATTTTTTAAAAGTATTTTTATTTATTTATTTTTAGAGAGAAGAAGGGAGGGAGAAAGAAAGGGAGAGAAACATCAGTGTGTGGTGCCTCTCATGTGCCCCTTACTGGGGACCTGGCGGGCAATACAGGCATGTGCCCTGACTGGGAATCAAACCGGTGACCCTTTGGTTCGCAGGCCAGTGCTCAATCCACTGAGCTACATCAACTAGGGCAGAAATCTCTTTTTTTTTCTCTTTTCTTTTCTTTTCTTTTCTTTTCTTTTCTTTTCTTTTCTTTTCTTTTCTTTTCTCTTTTCTTCCTTCCTTCCTTCCTTTCCTTCCTTCCTTCCTTCCTTCCTTTCTTTCCTTCCTTCCTTTCTTTCCTTTCTTCCTTCCTTTCCTTCCTTCCTTCCTTCTCTTTCTTTCTTTTCCTTTCTCTTTCTTTTCATTTTCCTTTTCTTTTCCTTTCTTTTCTCTTTTCTTTTCTTTCTTTCTATTTTGTTTTATTTTTATACAGAAGGGAAGGTAGGGGGAGTGAAACATCAGTGTGTGGTTGCTCCTCTTGCTCACCCGCTACTGGGGACCTGGCCTAGAACCCAGTTATGTGCCCTGACTGGGAATTGAACCAGCAACCCTTTGGTTAGCAGAGCTGACACTCAATCCCCTGAGCCATACCAGCCAGGGCTGAAATCACATTTCTTAATTTCTCTTCCAAGGGTATCAAATTATGCCTTCGAATGAAACAAAATCGATCTCTTTCTTTAAGAGAAAGCGTGTCAGGCCATCTTCTTGCTCCAGATTTTTCACTCCTTGTCTCACCAAGTCACTACTGAAAAAGACGTCCCCAGCAGCAGTGAGCCACCGGGGTGGGGGCGGGGAGGTCCGAGATGGCACCTCCTGGCCGGGCAGGACACGCTGGTAAACCCCGACTTGGCTCAGGCAACCCTCTGTTCCGCCGTCTCAGCCCCGTGGTCCCCTCTGCCCTTTTCAGAAAGGTTCTAGTGTTGGTGGGGGTGACAGCAGTGTGGGGCATGGCTGTGCCTGTACTTAAAACAGCAACAAAAGCCAAAATGAAAAAACGACCTCCAGTCTAGTGGAAGCCCATTCTGCAGGTGTTAGGCCTCCTCCGGGAAGTGCGTTTTTCGTCCCACTCTCTCGGTGTAGCTTCAGGTCTGTGCGTGGACTGTCTCTTCTTCAGGCCCCTGATGCCCTGTGGAGGACCTGGGCCCTGGCAGCTCCCTTGTCCCTCTGTGGAAGCCCCAGCCTGCTTCCGGAGCACACGGAGTCCCCCTTGCTTCCTCACCAGCAACTCATACCGCCTTCCTCGACACCACCCTTCTCTCTCTTTCTTTGAATGATTTTTTAAAATGCTAATGCTGCTGCTTCTGCTTTTCTTCCTCTCAGCGAGCTACAGGGCAAAAGCATCAATGATCCGTTAGAGCTGGCGTTGGGGAAAGTATGTGTACATGTGCATGAAGTTAGTACAATCGCTTTTCAGAAGGCAGTACAGCGGTCGTTATTAAACTGCGTAATGTGCAAATCCTTTGATCTGGAGGCTCACTGCTAGTAATATGTCCTCCACAGATGTTCCCCGGAGTATGCAGAGGTAAACATCAGAGGGCGTCACAGGAGCTGTGTGCCTGGTAAAAACAAGCTGGGAGCTAGTTTGAAGACTGTGGAACATTCGTAGTGGAATAGCACACAGGTGTTACATAAAACGTGTGTTCTGATGTGGGACAGCGTTCAGGAGTTGCGTAGGCACATTTGAGCCCCTCCTTTGTTAAGTGAAGAAGGGTACTCTGAAAACAGTAGTGTGATGGCATCGCGCCGTTTGTTTTTACTATGTTTTCATAGTTAATCACTTAAGTGGCTGAAGATCATCCTCTCATTGTTTATTCAGGAAGGGCTCATGGAGCTTGTGAAAATGTTTGGTTTCATACATGAAACAACAGCAGTTAGCTGAGCCTAGAATTCTTGGTCACTCTTTTTCTTTTCTGTTTTTAATTTTTAATATTTTGTGTATTGATTTGAGAGTAGAAACATTGATTTGCTGTTCCACTTATTTATGCATTCACTGGCTGGTCTTGTATGTGCCCTGACCACGGATCGAACCCGCAACCTTGGCGTACTGGGACAAGGCTCTAACCCGCTGAGCCGCCAGCCAGGGCTGCCTCTTCCTAAGGCCGTTGTAGTCACTGCTCTCTTTCACCTTTGGTGGTGCACCTCTTTGCCATATGGTCGGTCTGCTTCCTCGTGGCTTTGGCCTTCCTTTCCATCAAGCGCGCATTTGTTCCACTTTCCTGCTTGACTCATTTCCACGTGTCTTCCGTGAATAGCCCCTGCTTGTTCCTCCGCATGTGGATTTCTGAGGATAACCTCAGATTTTCTTGCGGAAGATTCTGGCTTCCTCCCTCGTGGCCCCCGTGGTGATGAGAGCGCATTTCGATGGGTTTCTGGGGCTTACAGACCGAGCACACAATTCTGTGTCTCCCTCCAGGTAACCAACATCAAGAAGACTCTCAAAGCCACTGCGTCCTCCTCGGCCCAGGAGATGGAGCAGCAGCTGGCCGAGCGGGAGTGTCCCCCCCACGCTGAGCAGAGGCAGCCCACCAAGAAGATGTCCAAAGTGAAAGGTCTGGTCTCCAGCCGCCACTAGGGCCGGTTGGGGCGGCTGGCACTCACCGGGCCTGGGGCAGCCGGGGAGGGGACACCAAGGGCCTACTTCCTCCCCTCCCCACCTTCAGTGAGTTCCAGACCTGCCCGCCCCTCACCAGCGCCTCCCCGCCCTGTTGGTACTGTTTCAGAAGAACCGTTTCGCCCCTGCCCAGCCCACCCCCGCCCACCCCAGTTGTTCCCTTCAGACTCAGGGGCCCCACCGACGCCACCCCAGCAGGGTCAGACGCTGCCCGGCTGCCCTCCCGGAGGCTCTTGTCTGTGTCCAAGGGCTTGTCCCCCTCCCAGGTTTTTTTTTTCCCCTCCATGTCATGTTGTCAGGCTGATCAGAGCCAGAGGCAGCTTTAACCAGCCCGCGGGGATGACCGAGAAGGAGGCTCCTCTCTGAGTGCGGTGGGCCTCCCGCAGCCCCACGGACCGCGGTGCCCACGCGGCGCAGGCCCCTCCAGCCGGGGAGCCCGACGCTTCGTTCCCCCTCCTGCCCTGCCCCTCCCTGGCAGCCCTGGTCCGACCGAGCAAGCGGCCGAGCAAGCGGCCGTGGAGGGGTGTGGTGCTGGGCTGTGTTTGCTAGCCCTGCGGGAGGTTTCTGGCCTCTGAAGCCCAGCTCCGCTCCCTCGCTGGTGGGAGCGCTGGGCTCACTGGCGTCTGGTGTCTGAGCAGCAGGGGCGGGCGCTGTGGGCCTGCTCAGTGGCAGGAGTTTCGTCCAGCTTGGTGTCCTCGGCCGCCGCTGCCCACTCAGACTGGTTTCGGCGAGGACGCCCCGGCGGCCCCTGGGGCTGCCCGTCAGCACTTGCTCTCCGTGCTGGGGACGGTGGTGCCGAGGCCCCTCTCTCCGGGGAAGGACCTGTGGCCGCTCTGTCCCTCCCGTCCCACCCTCCCTGGCTGATGCCCCAGAGCCCTCTGATGATGGCGTTCTCCTGGCGAGAGGAAAGGACTTGACTAGCCTTTCTGAACTTGAACAGTTTCAGGTTATATTTTGATTTTTTTTTGTACAGGTTCTGATTCTAATACATTTCAACATGCCTTTTTCCCCCCCCGTGTCAATGTTTGTGGCAGACGGATCGCCGGGGACTTTGCCCCTGGTCGGCGGGGGCCTGTGTGTATGTGTGCGTGTTCCTTTTTAAGGGGAAGGGGTGGTCTGGACCGATACTCAAGTTCACCGAGGGAAGAAGCACATTCTAGAACAAAAAATAAAAGTGGAGACTTACTGTGACTGGCGTGCAGGGTCGCGTAGCTGGTGGACCTGGAGGGCCTGGGGGGCGGGGCTTCAGGGAACCGTCCTGCTGTCGCACGCGGGGCCTGGGGAAGAGGCGTCTCCTCCTCAGACACGTCTGGCGGCTGCCCCCGCCGCCGACCTCATGTTGACGAGCTGCTCTCGTTTGCCCTTGAAGCTGGCCCCCGTGCCCGTGCCCACGTACCACGTCCGCTGGCGGAGTTTGGGTCCCACAGTGCGTCTCACGAAACCCCCGGCAGATGCTCTGCGGAAGGGGGCTCTGTTGTTAAATGAATCCGGCACCCCCTGCACCCCACCTCCCCACCAGCAGCTCGTTCTGAGGGTCTCGGGGAAGGCCGGGCGAGGGTCCCTCTTCCCACACTGACGTCAGCACCGAACCCTTTTTGCCGATACCTAGTGGGACACGCTTTGGGGAAGTTTTTGGAAATGTTACATTTCTCAGAAATATCTCCCAGTCTGTAGATTTTAATTCAGTTACAGTCATGTGTTGCTTAATGACGGACTGTGTTCCGAGGAGTGCGTGGTCGGGCGATTCGGTCCCGGTGCGAACATCGTGGGGTGCACCCACAGCACCCGGGGGTCTGGTCCGCCGCTCCCCTGGGCTGAGCGGGGCGGCCTGTTGCTCCCGGGTCACAAGCCCGTGCTGCACACTGCGGTGCCGCGTACTGCAGCCGTGGAGAAGGTCCAGCAGAACTCGAGTGGGAAAGGAACCGCCGGCGCGCCTGTGCAGGGCCTGCACCCCGGGTGGAGCCCTCGGGCCGGAAGTCGCCCGCGGTAAGTCGGTGAGTCGCGAGCGTGCGCGAGGGCGGCGGCCAGCACGCCCCGCCCCCGGCCGTAGACTGTGCTCGCACCACACCACACCGCGCGCCAGGCCGACCGCGCTCCCAGAGGCCGGCTTTCTGTGTTTAACTGGGAATTAACCTTGGCTGGCTGTAGCCTTTTTACTTCAGGGTCTTCCAGATTTCTAAAAACTTTTTTGGCTCTTTTGTAATAACACTTAGCTTAAAACACACCAGTACAACTGTACTAAAATATTTTCTAATTTACAGTATAAGCTTTTTTTTGGTTTGTTTTTAAAATGTTTTATTTTTCTTTTGTCCAAGACTAAGACACGAACACGCGAGTTAGCCCGGCCTACACAGGGTCAGGACCGACCTCACTGCCTCCCACCCCCTCGCCTCCTGCCCCTGGGAGGTCTTCGGGGCAGTGACGGGCGTGGGGCTGTCATCTCTGCGACAACAGTGCCTCCTCCGTTACCTCTCCTGAAGGCCCTGCCTGAGGCTCTTCTAGAGGAGGTGTCGCTCTTTTCAGAAAGGGCAGAGGCCGTGACAGCTGCGTGACCACCGGGCACCTAGGGTTTCCCGCTCCTTCAGAGCCTTCCGAGACCGCCGCCCCACGCGCCTCCCACCATCGGCCGAGGCGGCACCGTGCGGTCCGTGCCGGGCGCGGGCGCACTCGCTCCCTGCGGGTCCTCCTCCCTGGGCTTTCCCACCGGTGAGCAGACTGGACCTGTGTGGCTCAGCTGGTGGGAAACAGGTAGTCATTTGTGGTTTGCCTCACGGCCCTAAGGAGCTTTAAGGTTCGTCTTCTCCACGGTTCAGCTGCGTCCTTGAAACTAGAGGGACCACCATAAAAACACGTCTGAGACGCGCTCTGCGAAGTGACCCCATGGACAGCAGGTCACTGAATCCCTCGCACCCGCCCGTCTCCCGCGGGCGGTGAGGGTGCGTGTACCTGCAGTCACCCTCCCTCTACTTGTGACGAAGTGGTGGCCCAGGTTCAGAACGGCCCATGACAGGTGGCGGGGCGACGACTCCTGCGTCTGCTGACTGTCACGTCCTGCACTCTGTCTGTGTCACCTTCTGAGGGGGAGCCTGCCCTCCCCACACTGACCCCTGGTGCCCTGCCTGTGCCTCTGAGGGCTCGTCTGGCTTTTAGCCAACACCCAGCACACCGCAGTCTCTGCCTCCCAAGCCCACCCGGCCGCTGTGGGAAGTCGGGCGTCCAGGGTGGGGTCCAGGGATTGTGGGAACAGCTGGAGTGTCCTTTGCTCTCTTGGGAGTCTGGCAGGAGGCCTGGCTCTGGGCTCTGCGGTATCCCACCTGGCGTGCTGTGACGCGGGGCTCACGTCTGAAACGCGCCCAGGTGTGTACAGGTAAACACGGCATGCAGAAGAGGTGCCCGCGTCAGCAGGGATCCAGTAGAACTGAACAGTGTTAAGTACGCCTTCGGCTTACGAGCACAGGAAGTAGCTGTTCAGGGGGACGCCCGAGTCTTCTGCTACTGCGGGGCGACTTTTTGAGTGGGTGAAGGTCGCCCTTAAGGTGACATACCTACTTTGCAGGATGTCTATAGAGGAGTTACAATCTGCCTATTTGAAAACATGTATAGTGTTAGGGCCCTGGCTGGCGTAGCTCAGTGGATTGAGCGCGGGCTGCGAACCAAAGCATCGCAGGTTCGATTCCCAGTCAGGGCACATGCCTGGGTTGCAGGCCACGGCCCCCAGCAACTGCACATTGATGTTTCTTTCTTTCTCTCTCTCTCTCTCTCTTTCTCCCTCCCTTCCCTCTCTAAAAATAAATAAATAAAATCTTAAAAATAAATAAAAACATGTGTAGTGTTAAATGTAACCAGCTTGAGAGCAGTGGCTGTGGGCTGGCTCTGGCCACCTTGAACCCTAAGCTGTCTGCTTCCTGAAGCCCTCTTCGGTCTTCACGGTTCATCCGGGTGAGAGAGGCAGTAGGGTTCCTGCTTGGGTGGCATTAGGGAGGGGGTCTGAGCCCTCAGCACAGGCCGTTCTTGCGTTCCAGAGCTGAGGTGGCCGCCACCGATAGCAGGGTCCTTGCTGGGAGCTTTCTGAGCCGGGAGACGGGGTGCGCACCAAAGAGGTAAAGGTGATACACAGCTTGCGATAATCTTATGTTTGCTGTTTTCTTCATCTCTGAGGTGCTGGGTTGCGTGAAATCAAACCGCACTCCAGTTCTTGTACTTAGAGTCATTATTCGAACAGCGTGAAACTTCAGATATTTTTTAACGCAACACACAGTTGAGTTTTGCTGGGCCAGGAGGACCGTCACAGTCCTTCGGGATGTGAGTCTCCAGTCTCGCCTACTCCGCTCAGCCTGCGATTGCATCTGTGTCCTCCCGGGGACTCTGCAGCCGTGAGCATCTATCTGACTGCCTCATTAAAGCTTTTCTTTTTTTAGAGAGGGGAAGGGAGGGAGGGGGAGGGGGGGGAGGGAGGGAGGGAGGGAGGGAGGGGAAGGAAGGGAGAGGGGGAGGGAGGGAGAGAGAAACCTTGATTCGAGAGAAACATCAAGTGGTTGCCTCTTGCACATACACTGACCGGGGACCGGACCCACAACCTAGGTGTGTGCCCTGACCGAGAATTGAACCTGCGACCTTCTGGTTTACGTGGGAACACTCCAACCAACTGAGCCACACCGGCCAGGGCCAGACCTTTTCTCATAGTTATGCTTGAGATTTACGGATTGAAGTATACTTTTTATTACATATACATTTCACTCTACATCTCTTTACATTCTCCTGAAGGCATTAAATTGACCTTTTATTTTTTTAAAGATTTTATATATTCATTTTTAGAGAGGGGGGAAGAGAGGGAGAGAAACATCAATGTGTGGTTGCCTCTCGCGCACTCCATACTGGGGACCTGGCCCACAACCCAGGCCCGTGCCCTGACTGGGACTCGAAATGGTTTGCAGCCCACGCTCAATCCACTGAGCCACGCCAGCCAGGGCAAATGGAACTTTTAAACTTAGGTCTGTAGGCTCGGTCGTCACTGACTCGGCCCTGGGACAGTAAAAGTGCTAATGCGCTGAGGTCAGTGTGGCAAGGGACTGCCGGGCATGTTGGGGGTGGGGACCGCTGTCCTGGGTGAAGGATGAAACCCGCACGGGGGTAAGCGGCGGGGAAGGCAGAGATGAGAGGCAGCCCCCTTCTTCTTGGGCCGTTCACGCCTGTCCTCACGATGCCTTTTCCTCGCAGAACCCCAGTGGATCCGTCTAGCTCTCTCTTCCAAACTTCTGAGTCGCAGGAAACGGGGGGCGCGGTGGGAGCGCCGTGTCACCGGTGGAGAACACACGGATGGTCCCGCGGAACCCAGCACACGCCTGCGGCTGCACCCTGGAGGAAGAGACGCCCCTGCGGGAATTCTGGGGCAGGCAGACAGGAACACGCGGGAAACCCCGAAAGCCTGGGGCCTCACACAGCCCCCCGTCCGGCTGCTGGCGGGGTCGCACACTGACTGCCAGGGTGGTGCCGCTACACACATGTTGTCTGTCACCCTGCCTGGGTCCTCCGAGCGGCCAGGCCATCCCGTCAGGTGTCCCTCAGCTCGCACGCATTCCCCACAGCTGTCACCAAGTCACCGTCCTCTGACCCCACCCCAGCCCTCTCAGCCCCACCCCCACAGGGCCTGACAGTTTCCCCACTCCACAGGGTCTTCCACCCGCAGAGTCCCCCACACCCACCCTCCCCTCCTTGGTTCTCACCGTGGGGGAAGGCGTCCCTCCTTCCTGGGGCGTGTGATCGCCCGCCTGCCCGTACTTCTCCCGGGGGTTTCCCTGGAGCATCTTTGCCCTCCAGTGGCCGTGCGAGGAGGAGTTTCACACGCCCAGGACACCCTCCTGATCCTCATGCCCGTGTCAGGCCACCCCTTTTCTCCCACAGACAAGCTTCTTGGGAGCTGCCCGCCCTTTCTGTCTCCACCGCCTCCCTCATTCACGCCTGAATCCTTTGTCTCATGGCTTCTACCGCCAGACACTAGCTCTCGGTTTTCTTGCTAGGAGACGGCTGAGCGAACCTCTCCTGTCCTTACCGGGCTTGACCTTGATGTTGCATTTGGCACTGTTGCGCACACTTCAAGTGTTTACCTCTTAGTCTTCACGGTCCCAGTCTCCAGACTCTGCATTTTGTTACCTACGCTTGCATTTCCTCAGGGGCATCTCTTCCTTCTGAGT